ATATATATATATATATATATATATATATATATATATATATATATATATGAATTCCCCCACATCCACATTGATGTGTCAACTGATGTTATCATTATGTAGTTCTTGCTTAGGCAGCCATGTTCCTGAGATTTCATGGGTACAGCATCCCATGAAATATCATTCATATATATGAATAGGAATATATATGTGCATAACATATATATGTATGTATATACACAAATGAAATCTACTCAGCTGTAAAGAAAAATGAAACAATGACATTTGCCAGTAAGTATATGGATAGAATGGAAAAATTCTATACTGAGTGAGGTAATAAGACCTAGAAAGACATACACCATACATTCTTTCTTAGTTGTGGATTCTAGCTGAGAATCTTTAGATTTGAGTATATAACCTGAGGTAATTACAGAAGCAATGAAAGTAGACAGGGATCAGAGGAAAAGAGGGAGAAGACACTTTGTAGAAAGTGTATCCCTACTGGAGAAAGGAATTGTTAGTAGGAAATATACATATGAAACATGAAGAAAAAAAAAAGAAAAAACAGGAAGAGGGTAACTGAGGGTGGGGCAAAAAAAAAAAGGAAGAAGGAAGATGGAAAGAGAAATAGTACTAAGGTTGTTTGAAAAGCCATGGGGAAATATAATGTTTATAAGCTTACTTTAAAACACATCTAATATATGTATCTATATGAGTATGTAGAAATATTTTAATGGAATCAAGCAATAAGGAGTGATAATGCTCTCCCACAAAGTCAAAGGCTGTCTAATGAAAATCACAGTGTTAGATACAGGAAACCTTTCTTTGACTTGTTAATCAGAGCATCCAGAAAAATATCAAAACAACATAGGCCATTGCCACTGCCCTTGGCTGCCTTCCAGAACTTGAAGATAAGACCCTATTGCTGAAGACACCACACACCTTGGAGAAATCCATCTAGAGTTGATCCAGTAGCCTTCTCACTGAGACTAGCTCTCAGAATATCAGAGGATGATATTAAAACTACCAAGGGAGAAAAGCAAGTAATAGGCCTAACCCTGCAGCAGTGTGATGAAAAAGAAAAACCAACCGTTGGTGTCGTCTATCCAACCGTGAGCCTGATATGTCAGAAGAGCTCTGCTCTCTCCTCTGACCTGGCCCCTTGAATATAGGCTGTCATCTTTGTTCATCAGCACAGAAAATCTGGCCTCAAAGAAGGATGAGGGATAATCAATCTTTTACAGCAACCTCGCAAGGGAAGAAATTGTTCTTTGGTCCTATTAACTCAGAATATCTCACAATTTCACAGCCACGTGTTATCCATCTAACCCCACATATGGCTTTTAATAGTTTACTTTTCAATGCCTCACTGCTTTCAGCAAATGAGCTTAGGTCTAGCTACCTTACCTTATGCATACATATGTCCTGAGTCAGGGGTATAAATAGGTCACAAAGGAAAATCAGGGAGCATAGTCCAACAAGGTTTTTACAACATAGTAAGATTAACTACATTGCTTTTCTTAAAGATCAGCTGATTCTGAACAGGCTGAATACCCAGTATGTAAGAAGAATGAGTACATAATTCTAAAAGGTCTCAAAGAACATTTATTGGTAGAATGTTCTTGTGGAATGTATACACTTTAGCCTTGTTCACTCAAAGGCTGATTTCTCTACCCCAATAACTGGTTTCAATACAGACATTGCATTATGATGCTTATTCTAAGCATCACCTGTCTCAAGTTTGTGTAAACATGCTACCATTTGTTTTCTGTATTGCCAATAAAAAACAACCAGCAAATAATGAGCAATGGAGAGAATAGAGTGGGACATCCTGGTCTGGAGGGGAGGAAAAAGAAGCGAGTAGGAGGAGAGATCCAAGAGGAAAGGACCTGGAAATATCAGGAGAAATGAACCGGACCTAAGATATGACTAAAAAGCAAGTATAATGTGAGAAATCTGAATTGGAGGAAGCTGTGCGGGCTTGGGGGTTTATGATGGAGTAACTATTACCCAGCATTGTGCTCTAGGTTAATTAAATAAATCTTAGTCTCTGTGAGATGATTTAGGTATACAGCTGGTTTAGGAATAACCACTGATTAACTAAAAGATAAATCAATATTAAATGTTAATAAACACCAACACATAGTATTTACTTAGTAACAGGTTGGGTGAAAGTTCAATTTGTAAAGACAAGCTCTAAACAGCATTTCTCAGAAAAACTGTCCCTACACAGCTGGAGAGCCCATGAACCACAACAATGACTAGCCCAGCAAGGTGTCTCCAGTGAGCAGTGGTGGCACTTTATACTGGGGGCTTATCAAAGACATCTATTTACACTTAAGGCTTATTGCATAGAAAGGGATCCATGCCTGGTACTATAAACCAAGTCAACTATTCATAATTGAAGAGGTCATAGGCACTACAGGAGAATCTATTGCTTCGTTTTCCTATATCACTATAGCTTCTACCTGTATAACCACAGATTAATGTAGCTCTCACTCCTCATCAAAAAGCTTCTTTTGACATTAAAGTTCATTTAGAATTTCGTACATGAGTAATGGATTTATATCATTTCTACCTCTCTCTTTCCCCTTTCAAACTCATCCTGTGTCCTCCACAATTCATTACTTCTTTAATTACTGTCGTACATATAAACATAAGTCTATCTACATTTACAACCTACTGATCCCATTTAATGTTGCTTATATATAGATGTCTTTAGGGGATAATGTGGGATTGGATTTATCCAGTCAGGGACAAGTATCCAGAATGTATACAGGACATCTTATTTTAAACACAAATACATCAATTGCCATTCATAATAAGTAAATGAACAAAACAGTCTTCAAAAGAAGGAAAGATGTCCAATGAATACATGACAATAGTGTTCAAAATCTTTAGCTCAGGGAAAGGCAAATCAAAAACTACACTGAGGAGCTGGAGAGATGGCTCAGGGGTTAAGAGAGCTTGCTCCATAATTGTGACGACCTGAGTTCACATCCCAGCAAGCATGTAGCCAGCTGGGCAGACCAACACTAGCACTTAGTGGATCCAAAGACAAGAGGGTTTCTCATGCTTGTTTGCTTCCAGCCTAAGAGGAAAGTGTGCCCCAGATTCAGGGAAACCCTGTTTCAGAGGAATAGACATAGAGCGGTGGTGAAGGAGAACCAACAACTTCTTCTGGCCTCTGCACATACAGGCACCCAACAGCACCCACATGCTACTCCCTTCAAATAAATAAACAAACAGATAACTCTTAAAACACAATGCAGATAGCTATCGGTCATCAGGGGTAAAATCTCCCAAATGTTGGAGAGGACGAGATGAGAGGGAAGGCACACCTAAATATGACTGATAAGTGGAAATACAGGAACGTAAATTAGTTTACTACCATGAACAATTGTCATGGCGGTTTTCCAACAAAAAAGGGGGGGGGTTTGCACACTTTTATAAGAGAATATCTGGCTTTCCCAGCATCATTTGTTGAAGATACTGTCTTTTTTCCTGTGTATATTCTGGATGCCTCTGTCAGGTCGTCCATGGTTGGGCTTATTCCTGGGCCTTCTGTCCAGTTCCTTGGCCTGAATTTCTGTACATGAGTTGGTTGCTTGCTCAATGGCTTTGCCAGAACCAAGTTGCTTTTGTCACTGTGGTTGCAGCCTAGGTTATCCAAAGGCATTATGATACAGCCTCTTCTTTATTCAGGGTTGCTGTGGTTTCTTTATGGGTCTTCTGTCAATCTGTGTGGATTTTAGGAGTGGTTTTTCTATCTTGGGAAGAATGTAACTGGAATTTTTATGTGATTACCTCATACCCAAAGATCAGTTTTATTTTATTTTCACAATACTAATTCTCCCACTTTGTGAGCATGGAAGGTCTTTCCATCTTCTAATGTCTTGAATTCATTTCTTCAGTGTTTCAGGTTTTTATTGTAAAGGTCTTTGACCTCCTTTATTATGCTTATGCCCAGGTGCTTGTATTTTAGTTGTTTTATGAGATTCCCCCTAATTTATTTCTTTGGAAGTTTATTACTGGCATACAAAATTAGCTGCTTAATTTGTATTGATTTTGTATCCTGCTACTTTGCTGAAAGTGCTCATAGCTATAGTCTGTGTTAGCCTGCTTTTTACTGATGTAATAAAACATTGACCAAAAGTTGAGGAGGAAAGGACTGGGTCACAGTCCTTCTAGGGGAGCCACGGTGGGAACCTGAGGCAGAAACCTGGAGGCAGGAACTGAAGCAGAATCCAGGCAGGTGAGCTGCTACTGTAAGACCTGGGGTCTCACAGCTCAGGAGTTCAAGATCGCACCCTTCCCAGAAACTCCCCCAGACCAAGACTCTGGGTTTTATTAACCATTGGTTTATTAACCATTGTGCAATGGGGTCACCCCTGCCGGTCAGCAAAGAGTGGCACTGGGAGACAAAGGCTTTAGGTTTTTAAAAGAAAAATTGCGGGAGATTTGAAGTTGCAGTCTTGGCAATTTAGGATTGGATGAGGAAGCTATAAAGTAAGATAATTGGTTAGTCTTAGGTGCTCAAGCTTGGCCAGTCCTGCCAAGTGTGGATGCAGCTGCAATTGAAGGTGGGGGTGGTTAGCTCATCCTTGAAGATTAGAGGCTACAGACTTTTGGCTGGAGGTCAAAAGCTACTCAGAAGAAGTCTAGGTTTGTTGCTAAGAAATGCTATCTCAAAGACAGGAGTTTTTCTTTTTGCTGAGTGAAGGTCATTGCTTGCTTGCCTTTTTTTTTCTATCTGTCCTCATAGATAGGGTCACATTTTTCCATTCTCTGGAAAGGTACTAAGAGGCTTTAGCTTAACCTGAACCTAAAACTCAAAACTATAGGCTTTAGAAGACATACAGGTTACAAAGTTAGTCTAACCCTTTCACTACCTGGTTTCCACCAGCACCAACTGCCTTTCTCTTATTCTCCATAAAATAAAACTATTAAAAAAGGATCAAGACCTTAGTTCATAGCCTTAGCTGGATATGAACAAACATGTAAATAAGTTTATAGCTATAAGTTTATAGCTATGTGTATGTATCTGCATCCAGACAGGTTTATACAGTATCAGGGATTGAATCCAGAGTCTGCTTCATGTGAGAAGCATCTATCAACTGAAGTACTCTCCAGTGCACAGGTAGATGATTGGTATAAAGTAAAATATTAAAATAAAAACAGCTTAATAATAGCTCAAGAACACTGAAATACTACATTGAATGTTTCATGGATTCTAATATGGACTTTAAGGATGAAGAAGCTTTGTGTTGTTATTATTGCATTTTTCATTCCTCATGGAGATAGGTTCCAAGTTATGGAAAAAGACACAAGGAAAGTAAATCAATTAACATTAATAATATGTCAGCTAAAGATGGCTGAAAGTAAAAGTGTAAAATGAAAGTTTATGTGACTGTTGGGAAGACTTGATGTTGATTAAACATTGATGACAATTATAATTTGCTTCTCAGTTTGAGAAATTACGCTTAATGTAGTTAAAATTCGCCACAATTTGAAGGCACATACTGAAGGAAGTAAAAGGCATGGATGGAAAGAACATCTTGGATTTGCATGCAAGACTCCAGGCAAATTAGAGGCAACAGGGTTTCTCTAACTTCAGAATTGGTTGAAGCTAGCTAAGGGGCACATGCAGATGGTCACATGAATACTCTCACTTTGGTTGAGTTTTAAATTTTCCCTCATAAAGGACTTAACTGAAAGCAAGTAGAAATCCATAAGAATTAGTCAATAGAATGTACCAGGCATCACTCCTGAGAACTCTGGCATCTGTCTCTTACAGCTTACTCTCCCTTCTTCCTTTCAGTGCCTTCATTTGCTCACTGTCATGAGTCAGATGTCCTCTGATACACCCAAGGATGAAGACTTGTCCTCCAGCTTCACTGAATATTTTAGGAAGTTTAAGGCAGAAAACAAACTCCAGGAAGCCATCACTTCAATTGAGTTACACCTGGCACAAGGAAACATTTGGAAGGCAAATGCTGCAATTACTGATGCATTAAAAGAAATTTCTAGAACCCCACTCAATGTTGCTGTGATAGGAGAGTCTGGAACAGGGAAGTCCAGTTTCATCAACGCCTTCCGAGGGGTTGGGCATGAAGAGGAAAATGCAGCTCCAATTGGGGTGGTGGAGACAACTATGAGGAGAACTCCATACAAATACCCCACCATCCCGAATCTGGTTATTTGGGACCTTCCTGGGATTGGAACCACAAATTTCCCACCAAAAACTTATCTGGAGGAAGTGAAATTCAATGAGTATGACTTCTTCATTATTGTTTCTGCCACACGCTTTAGGAAAAATGATATAGACCTCGCCAAAGCAGTCAGCATGTTACAGAAGGATTATTACTTCGTGAGGACCAAGGTGGACACAGATTTAGAAAATGAAAAGAGGTACAAACGTACCTTTGACAGAGAAAACTTCCTGCAGGATATCCAAAACCATTGTGTGAATATGTTTAAAAAGCATGACCTTGAGGTGCCACCGATTTTCTTGATCTCAAACAGGAATTTATCTGACTATGATTTCCCGATCCTGAAGGAAACGCTGAAACACAAACTTTCTACTCACACACATCAAAACTTCATGCTTTCCTTGCTTAATATTACGGAGGCAGCCATTGAAAGAAAGCCCAAGTCTAGGCAACTGTCTGACTGGTTGGAAGCCATAAAGGATGGAATTTGGGGGGCTGTTCCTATAGTGGGCGTCCTCAAGGACAGTGACATGGAGAAGTTGAAGGCAAGTTTAAACCATGGAATTCTCTCTGGGGTGGATGATGAATGCCCAGAATTCATGGCAAAGGATGCCCAGGTGCCTATTGAAGGACCGAAGAAAATCGTAGAAGGTCCTTCTTGTTTGGAAACTAAGAAAAGGAAAACATTAAAAGGAATGCACTTAGAAAACGTGGAGAAGAGTTTCATAGGTAGAGGGAACAGAGAGCTGACCCCAGGGAGCCCTGAGAGCACCGCTGCCACCGCCGACCTAGTCACCATCACACCCTGGGAGGAGCCTTTGCCTCTGGCCCCAGACACCACCATGGCAACCATGAGCAGCAAGGGGGACAAGAAGGTCATTGAAAGGAAGGTTTTGGGAACAGTAAAATGGTTCAATGTGAGGGACGGGTATGGTTTCATCAACAGGAATGACACCAAGGAAGATGTGTTTCTACACCAGACTGCCATAAAGAAGAATAATCCCAGGAAGTACCTTCGCAGTGTTGGAGATGGAGAGACTGTGGAGTTTGATGTTGTTGAAGGAGAAAACGGTGTGGAGGCAGCAAATGTTACAGGCCCTGGCGGAGCTCCAGTTCAAGGCAGTATATATGCCCCAGACCGTAATAGACGACACCCACGTCGTAAGGGTCCTCTGCGCAATTGCCGGCAAAACTACCAGAATAATGAGGGTGAGGAAAAGAATGAGGGGTCAGAAAGCGATGCTGAAGACCAGGCCCAACAATGCCAGCCCTATCTCAGGCAGAGGCCCTATGGGTGTCGACCACAGAGTTCCAACCCTCCTATGCCAGGAGAAGTGAGAGAGGGCGCTGACCACCAGGATGCAGGAAAGCAAGGAAGACCAGTGAGACAGAACATGTATCGGGGTTACAGACCACGATTCCAGAGGGGCCCTCCTCCCCAAAGACAGCCTAGAGAGGACAGCAATGAACAGGTCGAAGAAAATCAAGGAGATGAGACCCAGGGTCAGCAGCCACCCCAACGTCAGTATCACAGCAACTTCAATTACCGACGCAGACGCCCAGAGAACCCTAAACCACAAAATGGCAAAGAGATAAAAGCAACCAATCCACCGGGTAAAATTGTGTTCACTCCCAAGGCTGAGCAGGGAGGGCCAGAAAAAATGGCGCCTTACCGTCTCAACCATCATCGGGTATGGTCATCCAACAAGAAAAAAATGAATATGAAATCCCAGTAATAAGAAATGAACAAAGATTGGAGCTGAAAGACCTTAAGTGCTTGCTTTTTGCCGGTTGACCAGATAAAGTAGAACCATCTGCATAATCTATGCAGCATGGGCTTTTGTTCTTTCTACCTAAAGATGTCTATTTTTGGTAATGACAAATGTGTTTTTAAGGAAAAAAAAAAAAAGGAGGGGGCCGGGTTTTTCTCAATACACCGTTAATGGTTTTTAAATTGTTTCATAACTGGTCAATTTGAGATTTTTAGGAACTTCATTTTTAATTTGTAATAAAAGTTTACAACTTGATTTTTAAAAGTCAACAAACTGCAAGCACCTGTTAATAAAGGTCTCAAATATAACTGTAAAAAATATATATTTGTGTGTGTGTGTGTGTGTGTGTGTGTGTGTGTGTTGTGTGTGTGTAGAAATTTGCCTCAGCTGAAGGTAAAAACAGGTCTTCACTTTGGGAAAATCTTTTACTTGCAACTTCATTTTCTTGACACAGGGACTGAAGATACCAACATTCTCCTCAGAGAGACACATTCAAGAAACTAGTTCAGACCAGTTCACACTAGGCATGGAGCTGCACACCTTTTCTTTTAACCCTAGGACTCCACTCAGGAGGCAGAGGCAGGCACATGCCTGTTTTAAGTCAGCCTGGTCTACATAGAAAATTCCACCTAGACCTGCATAGTGAGACCCTGCCTCAAATAAGAAAGACAATAAAAACTAACAAGAAACTTGTTCAATCTCAATTCACCCACAGCCACTGACCAAAACCACACCTGGTGGTTAAAACCAGAGCCATGATGCGATCTCTAACACCATGAGAACCTAATGATAAAGCCCATGGACCTGAAATATAACGAAATCCCCCCGCTCATGTTCTCTCACTCACTCCTTTCTGACTCTCAAATACACACATGAAGGCACACATGAAGGCATACATTCACACATGCACATACATGCATACACACACATTCACCTGAACCTTACCCGTTCCTGTTCTTACCACGCATGTCTTAGCGACTAGCAAGGCTTATAGTTCCTCTCAACAGGAAGACTTCAAGAGCAAAGTAGAAAGAAGCCATAACTACAGATCATGAGTTTGTTAGTGAACAACCAACTCCTGAAACTCCTGTCACAATCTGTCCAGGGATAATAACTAAAGACTATTTATAATTCTGCACCAGGCCCAGTGGACGGCCCTGAGATCCCTCTGGCTTACTGCCATTGCCTATTTTCGCTGTGATCACAAAGAACTGCTTTCATCCATACATGGCACCATAAAATATTTGATAAATTGTTGATTAAAAACAGTGTCGGATGTTGGTGTTTGACATTTCCAGTACACCCAATGACATGCTCATATTTGATTACTGCCAGTCTTGCTTTTATTTGCTGATGATCTCAATTCCCGTTCCCAGGTCTAACACGTTGTATTCTTTAAAATGAAATAAGATACTCAGTACCTGAGTTGGAAGGGCTGAAAGAGAAATAGAAGAAGAAAATAATGTAATAATAATAATAACGCAATAATATCCAGTACACTTATTTCTCATATTTCCGTACACTGGGCATCTAAGATCCAGGTACCACCATGGATCCCTGGGGAGATCAATCATCCTCATGTCCACACATGGCTTTCCTTACTGCATGTGTCACTTGTTCTTGATCTTTCTATGAAAGCACTGCTTGCTCCTACCATTGTGCCATCCCATGACAACTGCTAGCAATCACAACCTTCTAAAAACTCTTCCCCCAATAGTGTCCTATGTAGATAGTTATCAATAAATTAACTTCATGTAATAGGAGTATAATGTAAGTTAATGAACCTAAGGCATTCTTTCAAAGAAAAGAAAAACACCTGGAAGTGTTTTTTTTTAAGTTTAGCTGACACCATCACTCAAGTGAAGAGGCAGCCTACAGAATGGGAAAAATGTTTGCCAGGAATGTACCAGACAGAGGGTTAGTATCTAGAATCTAGAAGAACAATTACACATCAAGAAAACAAGCAACCCAGTATTAAATTGGATTATGGACTTAAACACAAAGTTCTCATCTTTATGAAATACAAATGGCTGAGAAATACTTTTTTTAATTTTAATTTTATTTTATTTTTAATTACACGTTATTCACTTTGTATCCCCCTTCTAGTTCCCTCCCTCCTCCCCTCCCAATCTCTCCCTTTCTCCCGATTCTCCATGCATGCCCCTCCCCAAGTTCACTGGTAGGGGACGGTTTCTTTTTCTTCCTTCTGATTCTAGTCTGTTAGGTCTCATCAGGAGTGGCTGCATTGTCTTCCTCTGCGGCCTGGTAAGGCTGCTCCCCCCTCAGGGGGAGGTGATCAAATCAGTTCATGTCAGAAGCAGTCCCTGTTCCTATTACTATGGAACTCCCTTGGACACTGACCTGCCATGGGCTACATCTGTTCAGGGCTTCTAGGTTATCTCCATGCATGAGAAATATTTTTTTTAATGTTCGTCATCCTTCTCCACAGATACTCAAATCAAAGTTACTTTGAGACTTTATCTAACCAGAGTCAGAGTGGCTAGAAACAAAAATACAAATGCAACAATTGTTGAAGATGTGAGGATGCTGGCCCTGTGGAGAAGAGATCTCTCTGTAGGCTGCTTCTGCTGGAGCTAGCTGTGGAAATCTGTCTCAAGAATCATGTTCACTGTGGTGTTCTTTATTGCAAAACATGAGTGCTAACCATCTTCTCTGCATCTGTGAGGAACATGAGCTGTGTCAGCGGGTGGTGACAGCTGACATCTGGGCTGGCTTCCTTGTGTGATGCTGGCTGTGTCACAACCTTCTCGTCTCCTGTGTTCATCTTCAGTGGGAAGATCTTGTAGACACCTATTGCACTAGAGTCTGCATCACAAAACCAAGAGCTAGAGCTGAAATAACAAAAGGGTTATTTGAAGCAGTAAGAACAGTTGTGTGCTTTCCTGAATCCTGCCTACCTAAAATGGAACCTAGAGAAAGATAATAAAGTTAACAGTCATGTGGGCACTGGGGAACAGCAATAAAACAAGGGAGCAGTCTCTAAGTACAAAGTCCTGGGATGAAAAACAACCCAAGATAGTAAGGTATCTGGAATTTGGACACCAATGTTCCAAGAGGTGCAATCATAAAATCAAAGGCTATGTTATTTGTAGTGTGGGCAATGTTTACCTAGTGAACTTTCCCTGTGTGGAATGGGATCCTTATGGCGCCTCTCAGAATTGAGTTGACATGATATGACTTCAATGTCAATAGGATAACTCTGGCTGATCTCCATTTTTACAAGAACAGACACAGGTAATAAAGCAATATCAATGACGTACTCAAAGCTAGATTTGAGGAAGTCTTGAAGAAGATAACGTAGGAAGAATGATTAGTTGTGAGTGGATTTAGAAATAGAACTTGAGTTTGTGAACTGACTTGATATTGGTGAAACAGAAAGAGGCTCCAGAGTGACAATGAGGGTTTGCTGCCATGTGGGGAGGTCTTGTAGGCAGGTTTGTGAAGAATAAAGGGCAGAAATATGAGATCTGAGTTAATTAAATACCCAACAACCAAATGCAGGTCCTTAGGTCTGGTAGCAAGTGTATTTACCAGTTGAGCCATCTTCCTGAACTTGATACTTACTCTTTTGTGACATGGTCTTAAGGAGCCCAGGCTAGCCTCTAACACACTGTGTGCCAAGAAAGACCTTGAAGTCCTGACCCTCTTACCTCTATGTCCTGAGTGCCTGAATTAAGGGGAGCTGTAACCACATGCCCCTGAGGAAGTGTTGAGGATTGAACCTAAAGCCATATTCATGCTGGAAAAAACATTCTACCAGTTGGCCTATAGCTACAGTGCACTCGTAGATTATTTAAATGAAATAAAAAGTTTAAAAGAAAACACTGGATCTAAATGACGACTTGAGGACACTGAACTATCCTATTGAGTAAATGAATCTGAACATGGACTTTAAGGGTAAAGACATTTTATAATGTTGCAAGTTTATATCCCTTAAGGGGATATAAAAAGACAGAAAGAAAGTAAATCTAGGCAAATTAAAAATTATTTCAACCAAATACAATAGTTGGACTTCCTAAAATCTTTTGAAAACAAAACAAAGATTTATGTGATCATTAGAAATTTGACATTGATTGATCACCAATGTCAATTATTAGTCATTTTTACTTTTATTTTTTCAGTTTGAGAAACTAGCTGTCTGTTGACTAAGCTCCCAGTCTCCTGAAGGCACACACTGAAGGGAGTGTGCACAGATGGAAAAGACATTGGATTTTATATAGAACACTCCAGTCAGGTTAGATGCAGCTCAGTTGCTCGTGTTTTGATTAATGTTCATGCTAGATAAACAACACATGCAGATATTTACATTGTTGTATTTTACTTTGCTTGAGCTTTAATTTTTACAGAATTGGGGGTTTAATTGAGAGCTATTAGATACCTGTTCTAGTTTTCTATCTATTGCTGTGATAGACATCATGACCAAAAGCATTTTGGGGAGGGAAAGGTTTGGGGGCATTTACACCTTGTGATCACAGTCCATCACAGAGCAAAGTCAGGACAGAAACTAGGCAGGAATGGTAAGAGAATGCTCCTTACTGGCTTTCTCCCCATAGTTGGACATTTGCTTTGGTTTACAACCCGGGACCACCTGCTCGGGGGTGGTGACACCCCCACTGGTCTGGGAGCTCTCACATCAGTCCTCAATCAAGAAAATGTCCATGGGTATGCCGCCAGTCCAACCTGATGGAGGCAATTCCTCAGTGAGGTTTCTGCTATCAAGAGGAATCTAGATTCTATGTTGTTGGCAAAAGTAACCAGCACAATGTGTTCCAGGACTAGTCAACATCAGAACATAACTGAGTCTGAGACATAGAAAACAACCTTCTAAGCACAAAGGCATCTTTGATCTCTTGCAACTTACTCTCCCTCCCTTCTTTCAGTAACATTTTTGCTCACAGTCATGGGTCAGCTCCTCTCTGGTACACCTAAGGATGAAGAAAATGGAAATTTGGAGTCCAGCTTTACTGAATATCCTAAGAAGTATAAGCCATGAAACAAAATCATTTCTCAGGAAACCATCGAATCAATTGAGTTTCACCTGCAAAAAGGAAACGGTCATGGGCAAACTCAGTAATCAGTAATGCATTAGAAAATGCCCGAATAAATGTTGCTGTGACAGAAGATTCTGGAACACGAAAGTCCAGTCTCATCAATGCCCTGAGAGAAGTTGGACCTGAGGAGGAAGGTGCAGCTGAGGTTGGGGTGGTAGAGACAACCATGAAAGGAACTCCTTACAAACACCCCAAAATCAACACTTTGACTTTATGGGGCCCGCCTGATATTGAACTCTGAAATTTCCACCAAGTGACTCTTTGAAGGAAGTGAAATTTGAAGACTATAACTTCTTCATTATTGTTTCTGCCAAACGTTTTACAAAACATGAATTAGACCTCGCCAAAGCAATCAGAATTATGGGAAAGATTTACTGCTCTGTGTGAACCAAGGTAAACTTTAATCTAGTAAATGAAAAGAAATCCAAACCACTCACCTTTGACAGAAAAAAAAACAAAAACAAAAACAAAAAAACACCCTGAACCTGATCCGAAGGTCCTCTCTGGATGCCATTACTGACAATGGACACACCTCAGATTTCCTTGATCTCTAACTACAGTTTATTTAATTATGATTTTCCAGTCCTAATGGACACCCTAATGAGGAACTTACCATTCAAATGCAACAAAATTTTATAATTTTGCTGTCTAATGTTACAGAGGCAGCCATTGAAAGAAAGTACAAGTCTATCTTGCTGGAAGCCAAGGAGGATAGAGTTTGAGCGACTGTTCCTATAGTGGGCATGCTCAGGGACAGTGCTGTGGAGAAGCTGAAGAAGAGTTTAAACCACTATCGAGTCCTTTCTCAAGTGGATGACAAATCCCTGGAGTTCATGGCTAAGAATTTCCAAGTGCCTGTTGAACAATTGAAAAGAAAACTTAAATCTCCTTATTTACTGGAAAATAAGGAAAAGGAAACATTAGGGGAAAAACTTTGGAAACATTTCGAGAAAGGTGGCTTACATAATACTGGATTCCTGAGGCAGTTCTTTTCCTCAATAAAATGTATTTCTTATCTTAATTCTTTGACACAGTGGCTGAATATGCAAAACTTCTTCTTAGAGAGACATATTCAAAAAACTAGCTCAAACTCAACTTACCACAGCGACCAACAGTTACAAAACCAAACAGTGAATATTAGGAAGTCATCAGATAAATTCCCTTTCTGACATCTTTTCTTTATATTAGTTAGTCAAATGCCACCATCAGAAAACCTAAGGATGAGGTTTCAAGAGAATTAATGTCAGAACCTGAAAATCCCCAATCCCTCTTCATTTCTCTACAATCCCCAAGAGGAGATTCCTCTCCATCTTTCAACTCCACATGCATGCTTGAGTACACACACACACACACACAGAGAGAGAGAGAGAGAGAGACAGAGAGAGACAGAGAGAGACAGAGAGACAGAGAGAGAGAACTCTGTGTTACTTCTGTACTTCCTTAAAAGGATTTCCTATGCAACCTCAACCTCTCTGGAGCTTGCATACAATTATTTCTTCCTTTTTGTGTATCCTACACTGATGTGTTAATTTTGTCTCACAAAGTACACACACAAACACACACACACACACACACACACACACACACACGGTGCATTAAAGCACTTGCCATGAAGCCAAGAGGAGCAAAGCTCAGTTTCCCAAACTCACACAATGCTGAGTGGGCGTGGCACCACGTTGTACTCCCATACTCAGAAGGCAGAGACAGTGGAACCATGGAGCAAGCTGGCTAGATACACAGCAGAGTCTGCAAGAGCTGGCTACAACTGAGACATCTTCCTTGAGGAAAAAGATAGAAAACAATTGTAAAAGAGGGTTCAACACAAGCCTGACTTGCCCACACACATTTAAACAGACACATTTTAAATATAAAATAAGACTCAGAAATTAAATAAAAATCACAAACCATAGAAAGTGCAGAAACTTAGAAGATTCATGATCCTTCTCTCAAAGTTATATAAGTAGGCAGGATTATTGGGTAGGGGATTTCACACTAGCTGAAGTTCCTGCAATTCATGCAGGGGGCCCCGGGGCTGCAGCTGTGGTGACTCACCGCCATGCTGGGATGCACTTTTCAGGGATGCAGCTGCCTCTGAGTGATCAACACTCCTGTGAGTAACCCTCACCCTGATAACTCATTCATTCACTAAACTAAACTTGAAAGATATTTCATTGGTCTGTCATGGGGGCCTTGATGGGGTGAATAGATATTTGTTTGTGTCTCCTCAGGAAAAGCTCAAGAACACAACTGATGTCTCGTAGAGGATCCAGAAGAACCAAAAGTAAGTTGAAGAGGACTGCTCATTTTGTCCTTACATCGGTGCTGACGTACCGAAGTGACACAGTACATGTGATCAGCCTCTTGATTAACTTCCAAAACTTGAAAGGTCCAATTAGTGAAGATACCACATACACATCCATGAATTATATAACATGGTGAAATCAAGACGATACTGACTCAGAAGCTATGTCCTTACTGACTAGCTTTCTAGTGTTGGAAGGTACTGTTTATACCAGAGGAGAAAAAGAACCATTCATCAGACCCAGATAAGAGCTACAATGACTGGCCCAGTAGACATACCCACAAATGTAATAGTGGCAAGAATGACATCTAAGTAGCCAACTGCTTCCGAATAGGGATTAATAGCTTCTCCACAAGATGAAACTCATATCTGGAAAAGAACTTAAGGATGGACAGATCACAAACACTAGGAGAGAATTACTATTACTTCACTGTTAAATGGCTTTAATATTAAAAGACCTCCTAATGACTTATCATTATACCCATAGATTAAGACATCAATCAACCCTTACCAAGGCTGCTCGTATTTTCCATAGAAAATAATCAAAACAGATACCCACAATGGCCAGGATGCAGAGAATAAAGCTGAGGAATGTCCACCCCTAGATGTAACATCATTACTTCTACCTTCAGGCCCAGGAGTGGCTGTGGAAGGGGGGTGAAGAGACCATAAGAGCCAGAAGTGGTTGATGACTACAAGAAAGCAGTGTCTTCAGGACACAGCAGGTCAGTTCATGTATGAGCTCACAGAGGGTGTGATAGCATGTGGAAGTCCTGTCAAGCCCAGGCCTGACCAAATTCCAGAAGGACAGGGGAGATGGGAATGGCAAGAATTAAGTAACATGAATCTTGTGTGGAAATAAGGTTGTGGTCAGAGAGGTGAGACAGGTTGTGTCTTGGAAACTAACATTGGTTGGCATCTGCACAGGACCCCAGCATGTTGTATGACAACAGTTCAGGCTGCATTTGTGGAGTCAGGGATCAGGAAAATTCTCCTTCAAGGTTGTGTTATACCCTAATTAGTGAGCTGCTTCTCCATGTTCCCTCAGTTTCCAAGCCCCACATTCAACATATTTGATTATTTTAGGACTTTCTGGCCTTTTCTACCAAGAGATGAAGGGTTAATGGGATTAAAAATGGCTGATAGATTGACTTTCACTTTCCACTCTTTGGAAATGCAGATGCTTCTGAAAAGCAACCTGATCGCTGCTCCCTATGATTGGCCAACACATACCTAGATAGGAGGAGGCAATCAGAGTATATAAGTCCTCCCAACTCCCTTGCACCTGCTGCTTTCCACAGAGGAAACAGAGATTAGTTTCAAGAGGAGAGCCTGGAGCACAGCGGAGTGCTTCCTGCAGCTGAACTACAGTGTGAATCCAGTCAACACAGGTTTTCTGGTAAGCGGGCAGGAGCATTCAGATCTAACTTCCAACCTTCGCCCTCTCTTTTCTCTAATGAGCTCATAGGTAACAAGACATTTAGGAACATGCCCAGACAGTGGAAATCCTCAGCCTGGAAGCAAAGGGACTTTGGTGGGAGGTTAACAGGACTGAGTTGTGGATGGTCTTTGCTCACCATTCAAGTTGAAGAACATCAAAGAAATGATCCAGAAGTTGTTTTTGGTAAGACCCATCCAGTTGATTTGCTTGTCCGTTACTCCTCTCCCTGAGATGATTGTAATGGACTTGTCAGGTGATGGGAAACCTCTGCAGTGTGTGTGAGGTTTGCTGTATCTCAGGCTCACCTTGCTTCCTAGTTCAGAGTCAACTATTTAATTCCCAACATTCCCAAGAATGCCAGCCTGTGAAGAAGAGGTCACTCTGCTTGTCCTTCTGCTGGAGCTGGATGTGGAAATTTGTACCTCAAGAATTGTGTTCACTGTGGTTTTCTTTATTGCAAAGCATGAGTGCTAACCATCTTCTCTGTATCTGTGAGGAACATGAGCTGTGTCAGGGGGTGGTGACAGCTGTCATCTAGGCAGGCCTCCTCGTGTGATGCTGGCTGTGTCACACGCTTCTTGTCTCCTGTGTTCATCTTAGGTGGGAAGACATTGCAGTAGGTATTTCACTGCAGTCTGCATCACATAACCAGGAGCTAGAACTGAAAGAAAGAGAGGGAAAAACTGAAGAGATGAGAACAGCTTGGGTGCTTCCCTGAATCCTGCCTACCTTAAATGAACCTAGAAAAAGATAATAAAGTTATCAGTCATATGGCTACAGGGGAACAGCAACGAGGCAAGAGAGCAGTCTCGAAGTTCAAAGTCCTGGGATGAAAAGACAATCCAAGATAACAAGATATCTGGAATTTAGACACCAGTGACTCCAGGGGTGTAACAATAAAATCCAAAGGTATGTTGTGTTTAGCAAGCACACTGTATACCTAATGAACACTTCCTGAGTGGAAAAGGATCCATACGGTCATCTCAGAATTGATTTGATATGCTATGACTTCAGTGTCAACAGGATAACTCTGGCTTTTTTATAATAAATGTTGTTTCAAGGACAGTCACAGGAAACAAAGTAATGTCAATGACATAATCAAAGCTGGAATTGAGGAGATCTTAAGGAAAAGAATGTAGGAGGAATGATCAGTTGTGAATGCATCTGGAAATAGAACTTAAATATGCACACCAACTTGATAGGGGTGAAACAGAAAGAGAAAGGCCCAGGGTGACAGCAGAGGGCTCCTGTTTCCTTATACGGACAGTGAGGTCCATTGTGCTACCATGGGAGATCTTGTAGTCAGGTTTATGGAGAATAAAGGTCAAAAATATGAGCTCTGAGCTCATCAAATACCCAACAATCAAACTCAGTACAAAGGTCTGGCAGCAAGTAGATTCACCTGCTGAGACAGCTTGATTGACTTAATATTTACTCTTTTGTGACAGGCTCTTAAGTAGCCCAGGCTAGCCTCTAACTCACTCTATACCAAGAAAGAATGTGGTGTCCTGACCCACTTAATTCTATGTCCTGAATGCTAGAAATATAGGGATCCATGACCAGATGCACTTGATGAGGTGCTGGGAAATAAACCCTAGGCCTTACTCATGCTGGGAAAACACTCTGCCAATTGACCTATATCTGCACTGCTCAATTAGATTATTTTCATTAAATAGAGAAAAATCCTTAAAAAATAGCAATGGATCTAAAAGTTGACATAAGGACAATGAAACGCTGTATTGAATAAATGGATTTTAACAGACTTTAAGGGTAAAGAAGTTTTATATTATGGCAAATTTATATCCCTTGTGAACATGAGTTCCATTCTTTTAAAAAAAAAAAGGAAATTAAATCTAGACAAATTAAAAATTATTTCAACAAAATGCAATAGCTGGAGTAACTGAAATCTTTTGAAAACAAAAATAAAACAAAATTTACGTTATCATAAGAGTCAGCATTGATTAAGCACTGATGTCAACTATCATTCATCATTGCTTATTTTCAGTTTAGAAAACTAGGTGTCTGTTGACTAAGCTCCAAATCATCAAAAGGCACACACTGAAGGAACTGTGCACAGAAGTAGAAGACATTGGATTTCATATAGAACACTCCAGTCAGGTGACAAGCAGCAGAGGCAGGAATGATGGTAGAATTCTGCTTACTGACTTGCTCACCATAGTTAGATCATTTCTTTGATTTACAACTCAGGACAGCCTGCCCAAAAATGGTGACACACACACTTGGCTGGGATCTCCCACATCAATCCTTAATCAAGAAAATGTCCCATAAGGCACAACTAAAGTCCAATCTGATGGAGGCAATTCTTCCACCAAGGTTTCCTCTACCAACAAAAATCTAGATTGTATCTTGTTGTCAAAAAGTAACAAGTACAACATATATGGGAAACAGTGTCAGACTGAGTCTGAGACATAGAGAACACGCTGCTAAGCACAAAGGCATCTTCTATCTCTTGAAACTTACTCTCTTTTCCTTCTTTCGGTGACTTTTTTGCTCACAGTCATGGGTCAGCTCCTCTCTGGTACACCTAAGAATGACGACAATGGAAGTTTGGTGTCCAGCTTCACTGAATATTTTAAGAATTATAAGCCAGAAAACAAAATCATTTCTGAGGAAACCATCAGTTCAGTTGAGTTACACCTGAAAAGAAGAAACAACCAGGAAGCAATCTCTGTAATCAATGATGCATTAAAGAACATTGATATAGCCCCAATAAATGTTGCTGTGACAGGACAGTGTGGAGCAGGGAAGTCCAGCCTCATCAATGCCCTAAGAGGAGTTAAAGATGAAGAAAAAGGTGCAGCTGACACTAGGGTAACAGAGACAACCATGAAGATAATGCCATACGAACACCCCAAGATTAAAAATTTGACTTTATGGGAACTGCCTAGCTTTAGAACTCTGACCCTTCCACCAAAATGTTACCTAGAAAAAGTAGAATTCAAGAAATATGACTTTTTCTTTATTGTTTCTTCAGTAAAACCTACAACACAAGAAGTAGACCTTGCCAAAGAAATTAGAATTATGAAAAAGAATTACTACATTGTGAGAACAAAGGTGGACCGTGATCTGGACCATGAAAAGAAGAACAAACCACGTACCTTTAACAGAGAAAATACCATGGAGAAGATTCGAAGTTCCTATCTGCGAGCCTTTAGAGACATTGGTGAACCTAGGATTTTCTTGATATCTAACCACAATTGGTCTGACTATGAATTTCCAATCCTGATGGAATCCCTGATACAGGATCTTTCTGCTGAAAAGCCACACAATTTCATTTTTCGCCTGTCTAATGTTTCTGAGGCAGACATTGAAAGAAAGTACAACTATGCTAAGCAGTTAATCTGGTTGGAAGCCATGAAGGATGGATTTTGCTCTACTGTTCCTGTAGTGGACATCCTCAGGAACAGTGATGTGGAGAAGCTGAAGACAAGTTTAAACCACTATAGGGATCTCTTTGGAGTGGATGATGAATCCCTGGAGTTCATGGCTAAGGAAGCCCAAGTGCCTGTTGAACAACTGAAGAAAAAACTTAAATCTCCTTATTTGTTGGAAACTGACAAAGAGGAAACATTAGGAGGAAAGCTTTTGAAGTATGTGAAGGAATTTGCCTCAGCTAATGGTGGGCTCCTGGCAACAGGGCTTTACCTTAGGAAAAGCTTTTACTTGCACTTTTATTTCCTTGACACAGTGACTGAAGATGCAAAAGTTCTCCTTGGAGAGGCATCTTCAAAAAACTAGCTCAAACTTGGCTCACCCACAGCTGCTGACAACTACAAAACCAAAGAGGTAATATTAGGAACTCATTAGACAAATACCTCCTCTGACATCTTTTCTTTACATGAGCCAATCAACTGCCACCCTGGCAAAACCTGAGGATTAGGGTCATGATTATCAATAAGTCAGAACTGACAATACAACTCCATACACATGCTTGTATACACACACACACACACACACACACACACACACACACACAGTGAGCTGTGTCATTTCTGTACTTCCTTAGAATGATTTTCTATTGCAACTTCAACCTCTCTGGAACTTGTACACAATTATTCTTTCCTTTTTTGCATCTTGCCTTTATGTGTTCATTGTATCTCAGGAGATACACACACACACACACACACACACACACACACACACACACCTGAGCATTCTCGTCCTCACTAAGCCTGGGTTAGAGAGTGATTAGCATGACTTATAGAGTTTAGCAACAGGAAGACTTAAGACCAAAGTCAAAAGAAACCAGAACCACTGATCATAAGTTTGCTATTAACCAATCAGTTCCTACAATCATCAGCATCCTTCTAGAGACAATAAAGAGCATCTATAATTCAGTGCCAGGACCAGTTCAGAATCCTGAGTTCCCCATCTCTGTCATTACTTATCTGGGCTGGGATCATGAAGGACTTCTTTAATCAATCTATGACACCACATAATAACACTTAATAAATTGTTGATTACAAAGAGTGTCTGCTGTTGGTATTGGACATTCCCAATACACCCTTGATATGCTCCTGTTGATTGCTGGCAGTGTCTCTTTCTTTATTGAAACACTCACCTCCTGCTCCCAAGGCTATCATTTTGTCCTCCTCAAAACAAACTATGATAAGGAGGACTTCAGTTTAAGGGGCTGAAAGATAAACAGAAGAAGGAAATTATGTAGTAATAATAATGCTGTGATAATACCCTGTAGACTTGTATCTCATACACTGTATCTCATTGTATCTCATACACTGGGCACTTAAATCCAGGTGCCACCATGGGCAGGTCCTTCGGGAGATCAATCATCCTCATGTGCACACATGACTTTCCTTACTACATGTGTCACTTCTTCTCCCTCTTTCTATGAAAGCATCCCTCCTGCCATTGTGTCATCCTCATGACCTCATGACCTCTGCTAGCAATGATAAACTTCTAAAAACTCTTCCTCCCATATTATCCTATGGGAGCTTATAGTTAATAAATTCATTCCATGTAATAATAGTGCAATACAAATAATAAGACACTCCTTATGAAAAAAAGCCATCAAAGTATTTTTAAATTTCATTAAATAAAGCTTCAGTATCTCTTACCCAAAATTCCTGGCCCAGCAAAACTCAGGTTGTTTTCACCATATCCAATCACCTGGCACAATCAACCTATAAAGAGACAAAGTTTGCATTGGCTTATGGTTTCAGAGCTTCCATGGCATAATTTGGCAGATCTGTTGATTTAGGACCCTCACGATAATGCTGGACCACAGTGTTGGTCAACATGTAGCAAAGCAAGCTGTTCACCCCACAGTCAGGACACAAAATCAATACAAGAGACAGGTCACACAACCCCTTCACGGACATTCCCTCAACATGGAAACACCATCACTAGACCCCACATACTAAACGTTCTACAACTTACCACAGCCAGAGAGATGGCTCAGCAGTGAAGAGCACTGGCTGCCCTTCCAGAGGACTCAAATTCAAGTCCCAAACCCCACATGGTAGCTCACAAGTGTCAAGTTCCTCTTCACTGGGCTCTGCAAGCACTCCACACATGTGGTGCACTTACATACATTCAGGCAATATGCCCAGACACATGTTTTAACTTCTTAATACAACAGAATAGCTCTTTAAAGAGGAACTAGGAGAATATGTTAAGAAAAAGCAAAAAACATCTTCAAGAATGTCAGGTTTGCAGTTGTCTTCACAGTAGGCTAATAAGATTTTCTTTAAAATTCCTCAATTCCACATAAAGTCTGAAAGTATAATGTGAAACTCACTCCGTATGTTGCTATTTTTTCTACAAGTAAAATTTTTTAAATGGTTGACTTTTAAATTTAGTAATTTTTTGATTGCTAATTTGTAATTTGTTTCTTCTTCCCTGTGAGTTAAGGAACAAGTCTCAGAATAAATACTGAGCCCTATTAGTTGATGAATGGTAAGAACATCAATGTGTCAGTGAAGTGGAATTGACAAAATGGATTTGACAAAATCCCTAATGCTGACTCAGGGGGCTGAGGCAAGAGGATTGCAAATTGGGCAATGTGATAGATGATAAGTATGCAGTAACAAGAATGAACTCACACTGCAGTTGGGTTTTTCTGTTTTGTTTGTTTGGTTTTTTGTTTTGTTTTGTTTTGTTTTGTTTTTTGAAGACAATTTCCCATGAAGCCCAGGCTAGCCTCAAACATCCTTTGAAGACAAACAAGAACCTGGAACTACTGATTCTCTTGTCTCCACTTCCCCAGTGATTACAGGTGTGTACTGCCACACCCAGGTAAACTTAGGTTTTGTCCTCATTGCTATGTAGGAGGAAGAAGAGCATTATAGCACATTGACTTTCATTTGGCATTAGTATTGGGATACTCTTCACGTCTGCCTTCTCTTCTAAGTTAGAGGCTCTATAAGAGCTTTTTTTTTCCTGCCTTTCTTTTTTTAATTAATTTATTTTTTATATTAATCACCGGTTATTAACTCTGTATCCCAGCCATAGCCCCTTTCCTCATTCCCTCCAATCCCACCCTCCCTCCCTCATCTTCTCCCTGCCCCTTTCCAAGTCCACTAATAGGGGAGGACCTCCTCCCCTTCCATCTGACCCTAGCTTATCAAGTCTCTTCAGGACTGGCTGCAATGTCCTCTTCTGTGGCCTAGCAAGGCTGCTCCTCCCTCAGGGGTGGGGGGAGCAGAGGTCGAAGAGCTCGCCATTGAGTTCATGTCAGAAATAGTCCCTGTTCCCTTTATTAGAGAACCCAATTGGACACTGAGCTACCATAGGCTATATCTGAGCAGGGGTTCTAGGTTATATCCATACATGGTCCTTGGTTGGAGAAACAGTCTCATGAAAGACCCCTGTGCCCTGATATATTTGGTCCTTGTGGTGTTCCTATACTCTCCAGGTCTTACTAACTCCCCCTTTTTTCATATGATTCCCTGCACTCTCCCGAAGGTTTGGTTATGAGGCTTAATATCTGCTTTGATACACTGCTAGGTACAGTCTTTCAGAGGCTGTTTGTGGTAGGCCCCTGTCATGTTTCTTGTTTTCTCCTACATCCAATGTCCATCCCATTTGTCTTTCTAAGTGAGGATTGGTCATCTTACACTGAGTCCTCTTTCTTGTTTATCTTCTTTGGTGTATAGATTTCAGTATATTTGTCCTATCTTATAGGTCTATATAAGTGAGTATATACCATGTGTGTCTTTCTGCTTTTGGGATACCTCACTCAGGATGATCGTTTCTAGGTACCACCATTTGCCTGCAAATTTCATGATTTCCTCATTTTTAATTGCTGAGTAGTATTCCATTGTGTAAAAGTACCACAATTTCTGTATCCATTCCTCAATTGAGGGACATCTGGGTTGTATCCAGGTTATGGCTATTACAAATAAAGCTGCTACAAACATGGTTGAGCAAATGTCCTTATTGTGTACTTGAGCCTCTTTTGGATATATGCCTAGGAGTGGTATAGCTGGATCTTGAGAAAGTGTTATTCCTAATTGTCTGAGAAAGCACCAGATTGATTTCCAAAGTGGTTGTACAAGTGTGCATTCCCACCAGCAATGGAGGTCGGTTCCCCTTTCTCCATCCTCTCCAGCATGTGTTGTCACTTGAGTGTTTGATCTTAGCCATTCTGATGGGTGTAAGGTGAAATCTCAGAGTCGTTTTGATTTGCATCTCTCTGATGGCTAAGGACATTGAGCATTTCTTTAAGTGTTTTTCTGCCATTCTACAATCCTCTACAGAGAGTTCTCTGTTTAACTCCATGCCCCATTTTTTAATTGGATTACTTGATTTGTTGCTTTTTAACTTCTTGAGTTCTTTATATATACTGGATATTAGCCCTCTGTCAGATATAGGGTTGGTAAAGATCCTTTCCCAGTCTGTAAGCTGTCATTTTGTTTTAATGACAGTGTCTTTTGCATTACAGAAGCTTTTCAGTTTCATGAGGTCCCATTTATTTATTGCTAATCTTAGAGCCTGTGCTGTTTGGTGTTCTGTTCAGGAAGTAGTCTCCTGTGCCAATGAGTTCTAGGGTCTTCCCTACTTTTTCTTCTAACCAATTTAATGCGTCTGGTTTTATGTTGAGGTCTTTGATCCACTTAGACTTTAATTTTGTGCAGGGTGATAATATGGATCCATTTTCATTTTTCTGCATATAGACATCCAGTTGGACCAGCACCATTTGTTGAAGATGCTGTCTTTTTTCCATTGAATGGTTTTGGCTTCTTTGTCAAAAATCAAGTATTCATAGATTTGTGGGTTTGTTTCTGGGTCTTCTATTCAGTTCCATTGATCCTCCTTTCTGTTTCTATGTCAATACCATGCAGTTTTTATTACTATTGCTCTGTAGTACAGCTTGAGATCAGGGATGGAGATACCTCCTGAAGATCTTTTATTGTAGAGGATTGTTTTGGAAATTCTGGGTTTTTTGTTTCTCCATATGAAGTTGAGAATTTTTCTTTCAAGGTCTGTAAAGAATTGTGTTGGTATTTTGATGGGAATTGCATTGAATCTGTAGATTGCTTTTGGCAGGATGGTCATTTTCACTATGTTAATCCTACTGATCCATGAGCATGGGAGATCTTTCCATCTTCTGATATCTTCTTCAATTTCTTTCTTCAGAGACTTGAAGTTTTTCTCAAACAGGTCTTTCACTTGCTTGGTCAGAGTCACCTCAAGGTACTTTATGTTATTAGTGGCTATTGTGAAGGGTGTTGTTTTCCTAATTTCTTTCTCAGGCCTTTTGTCTTTGGTATAAAAGAGGGCTTCTGATTTTTTTGAATTGATTTTGAATCCAGCCACTTTGCTGAAGGTGTTTATCAGTTGAAGGAGTTCTCTGGTTGAATTTTTGGGGCCGCTCATGTATACTATCATATCATCTGCAAACAGTGATATTTTGACTTCTTCCTTTCCGATTTGTATCCCCTTGATCTCCTTTAGTTGTCTTATTGCTCTAGCTAGGACTTCAAGTACTATGTTGAAGAGATATGGAGAGAATGGGCAGCCTTGCCTTGTCCCTGATTTCAGTGGGATTTATTTAAATTTCTCTCTGTTTAGTTTGATGTTGGCTATAGGCTTGTTGTGTATTGTGTTTACTATGTTTAGATATGTGCCTTGTATCTTTGATCTCTCCAAGACTTTAAACATGAATAGGTGTTGGATTATGTCAAATGCTTTTTCAGCATCTAAGGAGATGATCATGTGGTTTTTCTCCTTCAGTTTGTTTATATGGTGGATGACATTGATGGATTTCCATATATTGAACCACGCTTGCATGCCTGGGATGAAGCCTACTTGGTCATGCTGGATGATATTTTTTATGTGTTCTTGGATTCGGTTTGCAAGTATTTTATTGAGTATGTTTGCATCAATGTTCATAAGAGAGATAGGTCTGAAGTTCTCTTTTTTTTTGTTGTTGGGTCTTTGTGTGGTTTAGGTATCAAGGTGACTGTAGCTTCATGGAATGAGTTTGGTAATGTTCCTTCTGTTTCTATTTTGTGGAATAGTTTGAAGAGAATTGGAGTTAGCTCTTCTCTGAAAGTCTGGTAGAATTCTGCACTGAAACCATCTGGCCCTGGGCTTTTTTTGGAAGAGAGACTTTTGAAGACTGCTTCTATTTTTTGGGGGAATATGGGACTATTCAATCTTTCTACCTGATCTTGACTTAATTTAGGTAGATGGAATCTATCAAAAAATTATCCATTTCTTTTAGATTTTCAAATTTTGTGGCATATAGGCTGTTGTAGTAAGACCTAATGATTGTTTGGATTTCCTCAATGTCTGTAGTTATCTCCCCCTTTTCATTTCTGATTTTGCTGATTTGGATAGTTTCTCTCTGTCTTTTTGTTAGTTTGGCTAAGGGCTTGTCTATCTTGTTGATTTTCTCAAAGAACCAGCTCTTGGTTTCATTGATTCCTTGAATTCTTTTATTTGTTTCTAATTGATTGATTTCAGCCCTGAGATTGATTATTTCCAGCTCTCTACTCCTCTTTTGTGTTTCTGTTTCTCCCCCCCCCCCATGGCTCTCAGTAAGCCATTATGTTACTTGTATGAGATGTTTCAAATTTCTTCTTGAAAGCACTTAGTGCTATGAATTTCCCTCTTAGCACTGCTTTCATTGTGTCCCATAAGTTTGGGTATGTTGTGCTTTCATTTTCATT